GTTGTAAATTTTAAATGCTCTTCTAAATTATAATGCGCGGGGCAAAACGGAACACTTTAAAACAGGTGTAACAAGAGTTCCTTGTTATGTGCTTTGTTTACAATTTTAATTGGTTACGCGTAATCATATTAATGAATAACAAATTAAAATCGAAGAAAAGATAAAAACTGACCAATTAGATAGCGCCAGTGCAAAAAAAAGGTGACATGTTTATTTGTGGGTTTTTTTTATAATCCAATATATATTTATAGTTTGTTTATATCAGCTAGCAATGTTGATTTAGTAGACGTACAGATTTTGTAATTGTGTATAATTTTATACGAGTGTTCCATTTCAACCTACCATGTTTGCGAAGCGGATGTTTCAATACCTTTTGAAAATCGTATTTTCCTTCGCAACTAAACATTTGTATTACAAAAATCTTTATCTCTACTTAAGACTTTTAAAAAAATGTGTGATTCTATGTGTGATACTTTGATATAACCAAATCGACAATAGGGTATACCATACGCCAAATATATGTTAATATGATCGTAGCAACGATAATCAACAGCGTCACACATATGTGACGCGTGATCGCGACATGTTAATTTTTTTATAAATGTGGGAATGGCTGTATTCATGAGCAAGTGTGGGTGAATAGATCAACGACGCGACTGTGTATTTTGAGTAAATGTTTAAGGCGTTGGAATATTCTAGACTAAATTGATTTTCTGTAATATTGATTTCTGCTTTCATGGTAAATGAATCTAAAGAATTCCAAATACCTATATGTGAAGTATAATATATTTAATATATTATTCCAAATACCTATATACTATTGTGCGTGCGATTTGATTTGAAGTCATTATTTTGTTGCGAGTCGTGTAGTTAAAATTGTTTATATAAATAAAATATTCTCTTTCTCCTACATACGTAAATATCCTTCAACATATAATGTTCGGTATTACAAACACTCTACAACATTCTGTAGTGCGCAAACATTCCCAAGGAATGTCTCTAAATAAATTGAGTTGTATTATTCGTAATAGTAGTAGGGTTCTTGATCTTATGAGAGTCTACATTTTTTAATGTTAATAATGATGGCAGGTTATACAAATGCTGAAACCGCAGATATGTATGTATGTATATGTGGTATTGTTAAAAGCAACACTGTACTAATGATCACTTTGAACAATTTATATGAAAGTAAGCATATTTAATACTATCAAACAGTGGTTGTATCTTAGGAACGAGGTCATGTCAAGCGTGTACAATGTGGAAAGGAATGTTTTGTTTTATCTATTGCGCGCAGGTGAATTCTACACCTTCGATTTGATGAAAATTGATGTAGGAAAGCTGTCACAAAATTCATTTTGATCTTGAGAAAGGGTTAAAATTTTTTATTGCTCCATCATATTCTACCCATCATGGAAGCGAATAGTCTGAAAGGAACCATGGGTCATAAATGATTCGTTTGCTTGCAAAATCAGTATTACTGCATGTCTCAACGTGCAGATCGATCTTAAGCAGGAATTGAAAACAGGTATGACGTCGGTTTTGGTTCTTGAAGCAATTATGGAGAACCAAAATAAAGTGGTAATTGTTATTACATAGATATATCGGTTTCGAGCTTTATCAGTTTCGGTTTTAAAAGAAATGCAGAACCGATTTAATATTGGTTCTGAAGAACCAGAATCGAATCCGATATAGCTCAGAATCAATGTACGTACTAACATTTTTGACTTTATTCCGGTTCTCCATAACTGTTTCAGTCGGAATCGATATATAACAGTTTCTAACGGTTAATTTCGGAACTTGTTCAATCCTTGGGCTTAAGGCTTCTAATCTTGACGCGACTACTCCTCCTCTACGTAGTGGGAGTTCAAAATTTGTCATGTCAATGTTTTTATTTTGCAATGCAAAGACTAGGGACCCTGAGATTTTTAGTTGAGACTCTTATGTAAGTCCCCAGTCCAATGCGGCTGTACTTTACTACTGAAAAGGCAACAGACTCTTAGAAGAATACATTGTTGCCAAAGTGCTTTGAACTAGTATGTCAGTGATATTTCACACAAGTCATCGGTTTTCCCTTTCTAAACTTTCCCTTCCTGTCCTTCCCTTCCTTCATAGCTCATTCAGGGGCATACGTTGGTGCACCGCAATATACCGTGAATGCAATTCCTGCTGTGTCCCATGGACCTAGGCTGATCGGGTTTTGAGTATCTATTTTTTATTCCTCACGTGACCATCACAGTGACCAAAGAGCATACTTTTTTATAAATACGCAGCGGCATAATGGATTTTTCCATTGTTCATCTCGGAATAGTAGTAAATTAGAAAGAGGCCAAACAACGCCAAGCCTAGTGATACACCTACGCTGATGTGAGGGAAACCCCGAGTAGTGGCAGCCTCTTTTTATAGAGTCAAACCTAATATTAATTGTCAAGTGTGGGATGATGTGATGACTTCAAGGTTTCAGCGCCATCTTGCGACATCAGATGGCAAGATAATCGTCGAGATTTTAGCAAGTAAGAATCCTGCGTAACCTCCATTGATTGTTGTATGTAAAGTCTTCGATTAAATGTGAGGATTTTTTTTAAGCGAAATTATAATTGTATGAATAAAATGAAAACTAGAAGTGGTGAAGTGATTATAGAAACACCGTTTTAAAATTACAAACAATTATAAATTTTAGACCTCCTTTTCCGTCACATATATTTTCGGTATTAACTGAACAGTCACAAGGACATATTGATAAAGTGTTATGAAGGGCTATAAAAGCGTCAAAGGTAGGATTGAATATACAAATGATGAATGACTATGCTACGCCTGGGAAAATATGGGATTATTAATTTTCTTTTGTACAATCTATGATGTGGACCGACGTAACGGCATGGGAGTCTTTCTCAGTTTGAACTGATGAGAGTAACAATTAGTGGGTTTATATACCCCAAAAAATGGGTGGGAGTAGCCGTATGGCGCAGTTGCGATCCAGTTGCTCTATTTCAAAGAGTACAATTGTTTAGATGAAGGGTTAAGAAGTTATCCATAGGCCGCTTCCTGTCAGAAATCAAAAAGTCGTACGGATAGCATTTTTCGTACGTAACAATGAAAATTTTGTTGAACATTTAATGCATGGATGTCGAACTGGGAGCTTGCGAGCTCCATAGTGACTTTCCTCTCACGGAGAGCTACCCTCTCCATACCTACTTTCACTTGTTTGTACTGAACTTCTGCAATACAGCTCTCATGTCTTGAGGAACGTCTAACAAACCATGTAAAAGTACAGGGGTAAAGGGAGACGTCAACTCGCGGCGCACATCCCGGTAGTTATGGCAACAGTGACGCCTCAGTTTTAGTATGTTCTTGTTATTGGCCGAAACGCCCAACAAAGATCGCAAACGAAAGTCCTACAGTGGACCAGAATCGTAAAAACCCGGACTAAACTCAAATTTCTAAGATACTAAGTACGACACCTCGTAGCGCGACCTTGGCGACATTCATACTCTTCGACCGTTTTTGGACGAAAAGCAGAGTTTGAGTGGTTAATTTTAAGAAACTCTGTGCACGCGCGCGTGTCTAATGCAGAGAGTACAAGCTCAACGTATTTTTACGACGAAGGCAGTCGAAAAAATTGCGCACGTGAGCAAACTTCGGCCTGCGAGGTGCGGTCAAAGTCAAGAGAGAGTTCTGTGTTGAGATCGGTCCTGCGGAGTGCTGTCCATTGCGAGTAAATTAGTTTTTATATTCTGTATTTTCTCTTGTAATATAAAAATTAAATTTATTTATTTATTTACTTATTTATTTATTTAATAAAAATTTATTTATTTATTTACCATTTTAAGATTCTGTAAACATTCAAAATTCGTCCAGGACGCCCAAATATATTAAAATGAACACGAATTTCATTTTTTGTTAATAATCACTCTTTAATTTTTGAAATAACAGAAATATGAATTTTGTTTGGGGTTTTACGATTCTGGCCCACTATGCGTCCGTTGTACCAGAATTGGCAGTCGAGCCGGAATAGGGGCAAGAGGGGGCGTTCGGTATGTACTTTGATTGGTTACGTGTAATCGTATTGATGAATAGCAAATTAGTATTGAAAATGAAACATGAAAAGATGAAAACTGACCGATGATACGCATTTCATATGACTGCCAACTCTTGTCAGTACAACAGACGGTACGAACCTTTAGCTTGGTAGACGTTCCTCAACCGTGAGTATTACACTGTACATAAAGCTGCTTACATACACAGTCTCGGACAGCTTCTAGAGTAGAGATAGTAGAATAATCGCTGATCGCGAGTCGCTAACATGGGGGAGCATGTAACTAGCAGTTCGACAGCTTTGACCTAGTGGAATTCTTTACAGCGATTTGACCATCACAATAATAAACGCTATTAAGAAATAATATGTTTTCAAATGATGTATTTTTGGTAATGTATCGTAAAAGTCAATGGACTTTTAACATAGATTCAAAATAGCAAAATTCCAAAGATGCTATGAAAAAGCTAATAACTATGTGTCCTCCAAGATATAGTTTAACTGAGCGGAGTGACCGGGTGACATCACACTAACCAACTTATCAACGTCCAATTACGTGTACTCTTCTGAGCAATGATTGAAAAACTGAAACATTCACCTCCTTTATATAAAAATTCAGCCCAACAAATTTTAATATGCTTGGATAAATGTTCATAGACAGATTAGACGCTTTGAGAGGTTCACTCAATATGCGCCGTTAGTTGACAAATACCTAAATATCGGCCATCGATTTAAATTTTTTATTTTTATCTCATTTTGATACGCGTAAAGTTATCCTCAAAAGAATGTCTGCAAGTTACTGAACATATTGTATATGTAGTAAATCATAACACATTGTTTTTTATACTACACACATATTTGGTCGTCCCTTCAGTTCGTGCTGTGGTGTGTTTATACAATACTTCTCGCGTTACGTTTTATAATCACAGAGTGATACGAGGACTTGGGTGACTAAACCTTTATGTTTCAGTTTAATCCGTAGAAGGTGCTTCAGAATGACAAGTCCAGAAGTTATAAGAATCGAAAGATAATTTAGTGAAAGGAAAGTCGAACGTTGGTCGTCTGCGTTTCGTCAATAGGTGCCTTCTTAAAGGAAAACGTCCTCGAGTCTCGGGGCGCAATAAACTCTGGCTAAACAGTGCCCTTCTCAAGGCATTCTCAATGGAGAATTTCTCAAGGCAACCTCCAAGCGAGGAACATCAGAATAAAAAGAGTAATATTCAAACCAAGTTTCCACCATTCTATTATTAAGCCCATAGAATCATGTCTTACAGAATTGTGTGTTTAATAAAATATTATTTTATATGGTAGAAAAATAAATGACACGAACTTATGGGGCGACCTAATACAATTGGAAGATAATACAATTACATTCTATGTATAAAAGAAAATAAAAAGCAACAGTTCCAAATGTTATACCTAAAACAATAACGTTGATATGCCTACTACTTGGTTTAACCTTCCATTTGGCGAACAGTTAAGCTAACGGAAAACAGAAAAATCATGCAATGGCCGTAGAATTTGAAGAAACATGAACGTACAGTATCACTGGGTATGCTTCTCCTTGACAATTCGCTAACTTTCCCAGATTTTCCGTATTCATGGTTATCAGTTATGGAAGGAGATCGAGACACCGCCGTACCAGTAAGAGGAGTTTCTGCTGATAATGGCGTAATAGCTTCATCCATGCCATGCCCGGTTCGACTACTTTCAGGGCCTTCGATATCATCCTCCTCATCGTCATCATCGTCATCGTCGTCGTCATCATCGTCGCGACCACTGAGCCACCATGCGATGCACCACATTTTGAGCCACATCCATGAAAACGGTCTATATTTCTGTAAAAAGGTGAAGAGTAAGTTAAGTATTAGTCATAGAGCGAATTCTTACAAAAAACAACCAAAGTCCTACAGACATTCCTTCAATCTCTATTTACTCAGATCTCCAAACCCAGTTACTCATCTATGACACAATCTAACCCCTACTTCATAATTTCTCTTCTTTTCCAAATTTTCCTTCTAGATTCATTTTCCGACACAGCAGATTTCACCGAACCGTCTTCGGGCCAAGATCTAGCACACCGTGAAGTGCGAACGATACTCAGTTTTCTTAAGATCTACTAGAATTCTATTAGTTAGTAAAAAAAATTTTTTTTCATTTAAAAAACGAAGATTTTTAAGTTTTTAAAATCTTTTTACTGATATTGAAGCTAAGTGTGTATTAATAACGAATTTATCGAAAAAATCTTTATTCTCAGTTTTAATTATTAGTCCTTTGCTGTTAAATCTGAACTGATCCGATTCGCCTCGGTCAACCCTATATATTAGGGTCTCATGGAATGGTACGAAATCTCATATCAATGTTTATTTTCTAGCGTTATATCTCACTTCGCGTTCTATATCACTCGCCACGGGTAATAGCGATAATATATTGTAATCGAGGCGTCAATGTTGATATAGCGAATTGTAGAGCATCGTCAGTGAAAGATACTTGTGACCTCTGTAATTTTTTAGTGTGTATATAGTTGGTCAACTTTTCATTGGTGCGTGATGAGTACAAGGTATAAGGCATAACCATGGCAAGGAAGCTACAGGTATGAATAAAGGGGTAGAGCTTAATAGTCTAGTATAAGACAGGATTCAAATAAAAGAGGAAAACGATGGACCAAACGTATACTTACGTTATACGACCTGAAAGGAATGTATACGATGTTGAAAGGAAAGATCATGGAAAAATTAGGACACCTAAAATGTTCCATAAAAGTAGTTGAAAGAGCTGATGAGAATTTCTGGACTGAAAGGAATTTATTTCGCAAATAAATTTTCCAATATTTAACAGTTTCTTAATAGATACT